AACAAGCCCAGATTGGTGAGTAGTTTGATTGGTCTAAAGGGAAGAGGATCCGAGATCTGAAGTTATATCCAAGGGAGTAGAAGGCGAGAACTGATCGCTGTACCATCTCCTACCGACGCTTACTGCACAGTGTGAAAATAGTAGCAGTACACGAACTACTGCCACCGGAAAAGGCAGAGCAAAGCTCCGCGACGGGAAGAAAAGTTATCGTTTTATAGTGCCAAGGAGGTGCTACGTAAAAGTATCTATTGGAATTGGGCTGACGTTTCAATAGTGCCGACATCGAAATGGAAAGAGTAGTGCTAGTTAATCGGTCTTCTCCCTTCCTGGCAAGTTTTTCATCGTGGAGTAAGTAAAGCACTTTTCTTCATAAGTTTCTCATGTCATGTGCGACAACGAGTATTTTACTGCCGTTGATTTATGGGCCCAGTAGCGCTTTGCCGGGGTTTGCGGGTTGAGGTAGGTATATAACTTCATTATTTTCGCCGTTAGAGATTTGTGTACAGCAATCAACTCATGTTAGCTACTGCGGGTGGTTAAAAACAACTCACAGATTGCTCTGTGTGTTAATGAAAGTGAGCTGATTATGCGTTATGAGTTGAGAAATCAGTTATGCGATTTCTGTTTCTTTTCATAGAAAATCGATGTTTTTCCAAGATGGAAAATTGGTTTTGAAGTTGTTTTTATTGGGTAACTGCTGTTTAATGCCTCACTGCGCAATGCGAAAGTTATCACAAGAGTGCCGAGTTATGGGCAAAATTCAGACCACGGACGGACTCGAACCCACCGCTCCAGCTTTCCGTGGAAAAATCGGGGTTTTCCCAAGATTAATTAGCAGGGAACATTTTTTCAGCCGACGGAATGGATACCGTGAATTATGTTCACATTTACTATAGATTGCTGAGGAATTGGAAGCAACAGTTGGATATGGGTGTTAATCATGCGGACGAAAAACATAGTCAAAAAGTAAGGTGCCGCTCTGCTTGGCGGGTCGCTGGTACTCTTTCCATGCACCACTCATTGGTCCGCGCTTGCTCAAGACCTCGTAAAACTCCTTATGAAGCTGTGGCAATAGCAGGAACTACTCGCAAAGAAATTAGACGAAGTGCCCAAACCTCCCCTTGCCTTCTATCCCGCATACCTTCTCTCTCCCTCAACCCAAACTTTAACCTTGGGGGTGGTTTTGAATGCTAAGTTGTTTGAATTGAGTTTGTCAGTAGCAAACAAATAATGGTCGAATGTTACGATTTTTGATGATTTCACTTAGCATTCATCCAATATAATGTAGTGACGCTTTAAAGGATGAACAGAATAGAAACTCCGTTCACTACTTTTTAGAACGCGGCCACGAATTCTACTTCATCGCAGGAATCGCCGTGGCTATAAATGCCATATGGCCTATACAATTACTTTTAGAGGCCAGCCGCTGCACGTTTTGGTGTTTCTATCATCCCAGATCAGGTTGGCATAAATTTGCCGCGCTAGAGGGTTGAAGATGTTTTGTTGCCTGGTGCAGGAGGCGTGTGGATTTTACCCCAAGACGCCTGGTAAGAAAGACTTGCCACTACAAAACCTCGGGCCTTCCCAATATTATTGTGCATGTGAAATTAGGCTCAGGTGTATAGCAGAACTCGTACATTGCTAATAGTAGGAACATTGTCAATGACTAGGAGACTGGTATTGAATCATTATCGCAGGACTGGTCATCTATCTCTCAAAAGGTTAGTCACAGTCCATATCTGAGGGCGATAAGGGGCGTAACGGCGACGGGATGTGGTTGGCTAGAAGAAAGAACGGCAGAGATATATTAATAAGGTATGAAAATCACTAATAATAAGGCAATGCGCAGCCGTAGCACCTTTTGCCCTCCGATATGGATGATAGTTGTATTGCTACCTGTACTACAGTCATTATCATTCAAGTTAGTCGAGCGTTTCAGTGATGGCGGGGTCGAACAGCGCGCAGCCCCATTCATCACTGCTTGAACGGCCTAAACCGTAAAGATCGACAACGAGCTGGCATCGCGACTGACCCACGCGCCGCTGACACGCCCCCGCTGACCTTAGCGATAATGACAAGCGCTGGAATTTGTTCAAAAAGCCGCAGTGAATGTGCAGTCATCTAATGGTTACTTAGAAATTAAAGGTTTAGAAAACTCAAATAAATAGAGCGGAAGTTCGTAAAATTCAGGTACGAATCTAATTTTCTTACCGTCGTCTCGTCTTCGAAGAGCACTTGATCATATTCGCTGATAGCCGTAATAAATATGATTGACTCTACATTGTCAAAACAGTGAATCCATTTTCGTCTCTCTGATCGTTGACCACCAACGTCGAATACTCTATAAGGAAATAATAAGTGAGTCGGAAAATGCATAATAATCGGAAAAGGGTTGTTACAGTTTTGTTCAATACTGGGACGTGTCAGAGGGGTTGGTTCTGGCAGTTTCCCACTAATTATTGTTGCTTGCTTCCTTCAACAACTGGTGGAGAAGAGCCTGGCCCGGGCTGAATTCTGTCCCCTGATACACCCCCATCATTCGCGAAGAACAATACTATATCTGTGGCCTTATTATTATTACTTTATATAAATTAACTAAAAGGGATGTTTCGCTTCAAACCAAGACTAGAAACTATTGATTGTACAAGGTGACCCGGTCCAACATGGCAGAGGTTGCGTTACATTGAAGTTCCAAAGACTGGCAAGCAATGCGCAAGAAGCTCGAGTCAGGGCACGCCATCGTTGTGATGATCCGGGGGGGTCATATTTATTCAAGAGAGGGGGTTCGTATTTGGTCCGAGAAAAATTGTAGTTGATTTCTCTTATTTCACGGACGCTATAAAGGGGGGGGGCGTATTGAGAGAGGGACCGCCAAAAATCTATACAACTACTATTTTCGATAGTTGAAAATGATAGTTAAATCCTGACGACCTCTCCCCCCCCCGCGCGACGGAAAATTCTTGGCTGAAAAACTGGAAATTTTTCGGGAAAAAATGGAAAAAGTGGTAGGAAGTTGGGAAAATCTAGGAAAGTGGTAGGTAGCTTGGGGGTCGTATTTGAGATAGAATCGGGGGATGGGGTCGCGCAATTTTCAGGAAATGATCACAACGCGATTGACGTCCAACAGACCCGTCCCAGCCTACGTGTCCATACAGTCGTGATAATTCTGTTGCGCTCTCTTGCCTGTCGCTTTCGGGTCTCCTTACAGCCCCTTTCGCTGTGCGTTAGCATACTATAGTTTATCCTGGCCATCTCATGCTCGTCCAGTGGTCATGAACGACTGCGAGAAGGAAAGCTTTTTGAGGAAGATTTCTCATGGTTTCTTGTTCACTAGTAAGTCAACGAGCCCGCTGAGTTTCTGTTTTTAAGTTGATTACCTATTACTTGCAATTGCGGAACGTGCACTTTGTCCTTCAGTTTCCTTCGTATACATACTTGCTAACTCCAACTGTTTCGTTCGCCTTCCGTCGTCAGTCGGTACCTGCGTTCGCCGGAATCCTATGGAGGCAAGAGAAGATCTGGTCGGCCGAAGAAGCTCACTGCACAAGACGAACGCCAGATTGGACGGCTTGTATCCAACTCGACGATCAGCGTCAACGATGTTCGCGCCACCTTACCGACGGCCGTTTCCAAAATGACGGTTTGGGAGTAGGCGTCAGACGGCAACAGCGAACATTGTGCGATGCGTCTTCGTTGCGCTGGCTCCAGCACTTACCGAGTCTCACAAAGAGGCTCGGCTGCGATTTGCCAGAAGGAACATGGCAACAAATTGGTCGAAGGTGGGGGTACTTTCTAAACCTATTCCAACGACGAAATTTTCTGTTTAGGTGGTGTTCTCCGATGAGAAGAAATTTAACCTGGATGGTCCAGATGGGTACGCCTATTACTGGAGGGATCTTCGCAAGGAGCAGAAGTACTTCAGCAAGCGTAACTTTGGCGGAGGCAGTGTTATGGTTTGGGGAGCATTCCACCAAGGCGGCAAGCTTGAACTGGCCTTCGTTTCCACGAAAATGAACTCAGTAGACTACCAGGACATGCTTGGGCGACACTTGCTGCCATTTCTCGCCAGTCACGATAGACGAGAGTTTGTCTTCCAACAGGACAATGCGGCCATCCATGTGAGCAGGTCTACTATGGCATGGTTGGAGGAGAGAAATGTGGTCACTATGGATTGGCCCGCTTGTTCTCCGGATGCAAACCCCATAGAGAATATCTGGGGTATACTTGTCAGGGTATACTTACAATCATCGGACGGACTTTCTCAATGTCGCAGACCTCCGGACGGCGATCAGCCAGGCATGGGCTCGTTTGGATCCACAGCTGCTGAACAAACTGGTCGAGTCGATGCCAAACCGCATTTTTGAAATCATTTCAAAAAATGGAGGACCAATTAATTATTAAAAGGCTGTTAATAGTTTGTTTTCGTAATAAAGATTCTGGGCTCTTGAAGTGTGTCTATACTTATGATACGGTCTGAGAACCAAGTTGAACGTCCGATATATGCCTTAGAAAATTTTTTTTTTCCAACTTTAACAAATGAAGTTGTGAATTACGGTTTTCGTAGCCTTCTCGATTACAGGTATCAAACTGTTGCTATGGGAGTCTGTTTAAAATGCTTTTCGGACATTTTTGGGGTGGTGTGTCTATACTTATGATACGCACTAGTGATGTTGTGGTGGTGGACTCATTATGTACAAAATATTTATTGATAGATTAAAGACAATCTGTGAGAACAATAAAAAAGACGTTCGTACAGAAAATATCTGCATTTTGAGCGTGTCGTTGTTGAATTGACGAAACACTCACATCATACCTGCCTTCTGGAGATTCTTTTGAATTATGGTGTCGATTACACTCGATATGACGAGTTGTACCTGGAAGGGTACGTTTCTTGCACGTTTATGAGTTGTTTTGGGGGTAATACACCCTATATCCCAAAAACAGAGAGGGCTTGGGTACGTACATCTTCCAATGTGTCAGCTCTGGTGGGAATAGATTGTCGTCGTGAGACATATGCGAACATGTCTGCTCACCACAAGAAGGATGATAACTGTCTCAAGTGGAAATGACTCATGTAAAACGCACTCTACGCCATGATTGGACTGGCTTTGGCAGGGCCGCCTTTCGTATTTCCAGGATATGGAGTGTAAAATTATCTCTCAAACTTACTTGATTGGTATCAGTTGCGCATGTTTCGTGCATGTAAATAGTCTTTTTATCCGGATTCAAATTGAGCTCCGCAAATTTCAGTTTAATAAATGCTACGGCTTCGTCGTAGTTTTGGCCACCTGCAAAGGAACAGGATAAATGAATAAGAATCAATTGGACCTTAGATGGCTGGAACATGTCCGAAATATTTTTAGTGAGATGGATGGACGCTGGTGCACCAAACTACGAGAGAAAGTTCAGTTGAATTGAAAAGGATTGAATTTAACATTTGGTTTTTCCATTTGGATGGGGGGCCTTTCGCTGAGTAAAAAGCCACTCGAGAGCGACACAGCCTAAAATTACTCACAATATTTTAAAATTGCCTAGCATATTGGTGGCGAACATTTGAAAAAAGGTCTCGCAGCCGTTTTTCAAAAGTTTTTAGCGCACCGAGTAGGTCGTGCCGAGGATCAGAGGAAAAAATTTCGCAGGTGGCATTAGCTAGATTTTACACAGCGTGATGATGTTCTGATTCCAACAAGCAGAGGTTTTTTTTCAAGTTGCTGACCATTCCATCAAGAACCACCTCTTCTTTGAATACCTAGTGCTAAAATATAAAGGCAGCCAATTCGCTGGCTTTGGGAGGCTTCACCTTAATATCGCTCGGATGAATGCAGCATAGTAGACACAACCAGTCTGCAATCGTTGAACGGCGCATTCCCGGCATTCGTTTTTACTCAATTGCCCTGCCTTGGAATGGGCATGCTGGTTGAATAGAAAATGAAGTGACACTGAACACACCTTTAAAAAATTAAGGGGAAGAACGCGGAACACCCTCTTTTGTTTTGCAATGCAACTTCTTCTCTCCGTGTGGAAAAAAGTTTCTCTCTGTGAGGAAAAAAAGTGTATTTAATTAGAATCTGCTCGACAGGGGTATCTGATGCTTTGAACTTTCAAAAGCCTTCTCATTTAAGTGACGAACTTACTTTTGTTGCGCTGTTCTGCAAATGCTAGGGGATTTGGGACCCCTCATGAAGCTCTGCCTACTGTTGAAACATTTGCCAACTAACTGGAAAGCATCAATTCATTATGAGACGTGCTTAGCAAATGCAGAGTCAGCGCGGCTTCTATGCCGCGCAAATAGGGTCTGAAGTGGAGACACATGGCTGTCATTCCTTCTTCTTCTTCTTTAGCGTTTTTTGTCCCGCTCAGCGGCGGGGTCCGCTCTTCTAATGTGATGACGCCACTTTTTCCGATCAAATGCCTGATCGGGGTGAATTCCAGCTATTTTCAAGTCTGTATGCAACGTATCGAGCCAGCGCTGTCTGGGACGTCCCCTAGGTCGCTTTCCGGCCACTTCAAGCTGAAGGCCAGCTCTACAGACGGTGTCAGCCTTTGCCCGAAGTACATGACCGTACCATCGAAGGCGCGTTTCTCGCATTTTGTCAGCTATAGGAGCTTATGCCGAACTTCTTGCGTATGAAGACACATCCTGTCATCACCTGCCTTCCGCGTCCACGTATTCCGGTCCACTATCGCAAAGGGTGTTCCACTTCTGCAGCTCGACAGTAAGAGGAAAGAGCGCTTCGGTTGTCATT